GCCTTGCTCAGAGGCATGCCCTGAAACCCTCAAACGCTCACTGGCAGTCCCATGATGCTCCTGAGGGGTTTTTAGATGTGTCAGCAACTGTCTCCATTTTTATTAGCATATAATTAGTTGTACAGGGGGGTTTCGTTGTGACATTTCCATCTATGCTTTTAATGTACCTTGGTTAGGTTCATCTCTCCATCATTTTCCCTCATTCCTCTCTCCCTTTCTTAAAACAGTTTCAACAGGTTTCATTGTTCTGTTTTCATACGTGTATATAAGCCACACACACATGTACATTGACCATATTCCAAGAGCCCAAATGTTTTAAGAGAAAATGCCATGGTCCCTCTGAAAAGCCTGTGGATGACAATATGGAGGCCCTACTCTGGAGCTCTCTGCCTTTTAAGGGGTTGGAATTTCAAAGAGTGAAGGGTGGGACTGGAAGTGGAGGAAAGGAGGGCTGAGGGTAGTCTGTGGGACTCCCTTGGAACTTCCAGCCTTTAAAGACTGGCCCCCTCCTGGGGCAGGCTGGCATGATGGCATGAATCGGGGTGTGTGACATTGTGCAAGTTACCTCGCCTCTCTGGACCTAGTTTCCCCATCTGTAAAATGGAAATAATAATGGCCCTGACCTCATCAGTGATTGTAGGGTGTGAGAATCAACTAAAGTTAAATTTACAAAGAACACAGTGCATTGGGATAGGTTTGACACTTCAGACAATGTTAGCTCTGGGAACACACAGTGCCTTTTTATTTTATTTTATTGATTTATTCAATTTTTGGTGTGGAAGGGTTTGAACTCAGGGCCTTCTGCTTGGTAGACAGGTGGTCTACCACTGGAGCCACTTCTCCAGCCCTTTAGCCCTTTTATGCTTTTTAGTTATTTTTCAGGAAGGGTCTCATGCTTTTGCTTGGGGCTGGAGTTGGACCTACCTATGCCTCATATGTGCCTGGGATCACAAGCATGAGCCACTGCGATCCTGGGGGGTGTGGCCCAGCTGGAGGCCTTATAGATTCCCTGTAGTGCATGGCCTGGGAGCAGGCAGGGGCAGTAAGCCTGGTCATGACAATGACTTATCCCCAGGGAAGTGTGAGCTGCTCATTGTTTCTAGTGGTGGGTGAACTGACCAAAGTCTGAGCAGTGGAGGGAGGTCCTTAGTGACCTTCAGAGGCCCCAAGGAGAAGGGAAGTGCTAAAGGATTGACTTGCCCAAGGCTAATGTCTTGGGTAGAGCAGGGCTGACTTGACCCCTTGTGTAGGAGGGTATGATGTATGAGGGCTGGGTCCAGTGTAGCTCTTTTCTGCTTCTGTCCACTGTCACACGGGGAAAACAGACCAACTGTCACCCCGGGTCTCCTCCCTGAGACTTCTCCCAGAGGGAGATGGCCTCTGAGGTCAGGACCATGTGCCTGGCTCCCCCCATCAAGGTCCATTGTCCAGGCCTTGCAATGGACTCCAGCTTTCTGCTAGATTCCTTTGCAGTAGCCAACTCCTACCCTATCAATGAAGCCCCTCTCAGGGCCCAGGCCTTTGGAATCCAGCCTCATACAGGAGGTAGGGGCTGAGTTCTGGGAGTAGAGCCATTGCCAGAAGCAGTGTTGGCCAGAGGTAAGGCGGGCAGAACTGGCAACTCCCAGTCTGCTGTAGGTGGACAGAGCCTGGAAGTGAGAGGTTGAGGATGTAATCCAGGCTGTTATGGAACTTGAAATCTTTCTGTGTCAGCTTCTTGAGTGCTGGGATTATAGGCATGAACCTCCATGCACAGCCACCTGGTGCACATAGACTTGTGAATGGTCCTCACTGGGTATTTTAGACGCCAGAAAACATGCTTTGGCTCCAAGTGCTCAAAGCCTGAGTGTGATATGGGACCGTAGGACTCCTCAGGATCACTCATTTGTTAGCACGGGAAACCAAAGTCCAGAGCGGGGCAGGCAGGGCCTCGTCTGGTCACCATGACGAGGGGCAGGATCAGCCCCGCCAATGTTATTCCTATGTTTCCGCTGCTCTGATGAATAATTAGTAAAAGTTACACAAACCTGTTGCTGCCTGTGTATGACAGGTGTCTAGGGAGCCGTAAACCCAGCAGATTCTGGAACTCCTGCTGGGCTGGTGGCTTGGGGAATCTGAGTTGGCTGGAGACCTGGGTCCCCTGTGTCTGCTGACAGCCAAGCCGCTCCTCACCTGCCAAGCTGGGGTGCCTGGTGCCAGAGCAAACTGAACCAGGTCCAGCAAACGTCCAGAAAAACAGGTCCCTACAGCACTGAGGCCCCCACCCTCTGCTGACCTTGCCCCCTGCAGAGGGTCCTATTTGTTGCCTCAGACCCTGGAAACAGTCCCTGAAGACGAGTGTGTGTTTACTTAGCACCCTGGATGGAGCTTGTTCTCTGAATCACAACACCCTCAAGTTCAACGTGGCCTCCTCCCTCTTCCTCTGGGGCCTCTGGAGTCTGGGCATGTGCTAGCATGGGCAGGGGTTACTAAGGCTCACACTGCAAAGTTACTTTTTCAACATTCTGGGCCACCAGGTTGGCTGCTAGGTAGAGGGGGAGCAGTTCATGGTCCTGTGTCCCCAAGTAGACAGCCCCTGAGGGCAGGCATTGCATCCACATTCCCTTGCAACCACCATCGTTGGTATTAACCCAGGGCTCATGGACCCCCCACAGAGCTTCCAAGTGGGTGAGGGTGGGAGTATGGCAGTGAAGTGGCTGATGGAGGGGTGAATGAAGGTATAGGGTAGATGGTAGGGGAATGGGAGGGGAAAAATGGGACACTGCTCCTTTTGATCTCTGCTCATCCCATTAAGGACTTCTTTTTTAACCATCCAGGAATCCTTGGTGGTCAGGAATTTAAAAGAGAGGCACTAAAAACTCTCTGGGGTCCTGTTCATGTGGCAGAGCCTGGTTGACTGTGGGGAGGTTTCTTAGGGGACCCGGTCATTTCAACAGAGGCCTCCCCAGATGTCAATATCCATGGGCCTTTCCTCTTTGGTGGGTGGGAGTCTCCAGAGAGGACCCCTTCTCTCTCCACCTAGGGCTTTTCCAGTATCAGGAGAGCGGCTGTGACTTCCCAGCCTTCCCCATGTGCTATGCTGGACTGAGATGCCTCGCTGCACCCATCTCTCACAATCATTGGCAAAGTGTATCTGCTGAGAGATCCCAGCCACCTTTCTCTTTGCTTTGTGGATTTTGTTTTATTTCTTTGCCTCCAAATCCTGGGAGAAACTTCAGTCCACCACATTGAACCAGAAAGCCACCTCCCCGACCACTTGTCCTTTATAAAGTCCTGCTTGGCCCTGGCTTCAGAGAACTGTACACATTCTTCTGGTTGTTTTCATGGTCAGTGTTTATCCCTTTTTCTTTAATCTGTTTTATGTAGCAGTGTTACTCACAGGTTTTATGGAGGGGAAAACGAGTTCTGTACTGCTGGGCGCTGGTGGCTCACATCTGGAATCCTAGCTAATCAGGAGGCAGAGATCAGGAGGATCGTGGTTTGAAGCCAGCCTGGGCAAATAGTTCTGTGAGACCTTATCTCAAAAAACCCTTTTGCCAAAAAGGCTGGCAGAGTGGCTCAAGGTGTAGGCCCTGAGTCAAGCCTCAGTACCACAAAAAAAAAAAAAAAAAAAAAAGAAACTTCTGTACCTAAAAATTGCCTGTTAAGCACTGACTTGGCATATCCCAAGGTAGAAGGAAGGGGGGTGAGGGTGAGAGGCCCCCACAAGCCACAGGGCTTGGGATGCAGAGGCGGGTTAGGCTACTCCGGGGAGAATGCACCTATTCTCATGGCCCTGGGACCCTGCACACATGTCCCCTGTACCTTTCTGGGAGGGATCACCCTCAAAGCAGGGGTGTTATACAGGCAATTTACACTCAGTGACAAAGCTGAGAAGAACAGCCCTGTGGAACCCCAGCAGCCTGGGTCCAAGGCTGCAGTGGGTTATGCAGGAGCTGTTGAGTTACCTAAATACACTGTGCGTGTTTGGGCATCTGTTTAGCCAGACTGGAGTTCCTGCAGGGTCAGGCTTTGAACTGAGTTGGGGAAAGAGGAATTGAGGCATCCTGTGACTTCCAGAGCAATAAAATCTCTATAGAGCAGCTTCGAATGGTCTATTTCCTCATTAAGATTGCCAGTCCTGGGAGACAGACACAAACAGATGAGTTCAGTCCAGAGAGATGGCACCTGGGGTCCCCATGACTGATCCCCTAATTGATCTTCCTAGTTCTCTCAACACATTAAACTCAAAGCTGCCAGAGTGACCTTTTAAGCAGGCAAATATGACCTTGACTTTCACTGCCTGAAATCCTCCAACATTGCCCATCGGCCTCTGGACACTGCCAGGCACCCTCTTACAGGCCCCCTGGAGTTAGGACACTCCATGTGTGCTGGCTGTAGACCCTGCCCCTTCTCCCTCCTCTCCAGGTCTAGGCATGTGTTCTTCCCTCTGCTGGCCCTGGCCAACCATTGTGCAGCCCTCAGGCCTCCCCTCCCATGCTGCTGCCTCCAAGACGTCCTCCCTGAGTGCCTTCCACCTGCCCTGGCTTTGATATCCCCTGATGCTCCTGCAGCCTCTGTTCTTACTGCCTGGTGTGGTCCTAAAAATATGTGTCTATCTGCTGGGCTCATTCCCTGGACTGTGACTCTCAAAGTCAGGGATCACATGTCCTTTGATCATTTGTTATCAGATGTCAAGTCCCTGTCTGTGCCAGGTTTCAGATTCACCATGGGCAAAGTATAAGACTCCTCCCTTGTGGCACTCCCAGGCTAACAGTGCTGGCTCAGTGCCTGGCACAGAGTAGATGGTGGCTGCTCAGAAAGGAGGCTAAGAGGTTCTGGCAGGTTGCAAGGAAACCCGCAGCCCTGAGGATAAGGCCCTGAGGGGTGGATAGGAGCTTTCCAGGCAAAAATCATTGGCGATTTCCCTGCCTGACTGTCCAGAAAATAACCTGGTGCCCAGGCTACCCTCTCCCCTGGTTCATGCTCCACCCTCACCTTATCTTCTCCTTCTCTTTCAGAATGCATGAACTGTACTCGGCTCAGCGACATGAGTGAGCGGCTGACCATGCTGGAGGCCAAGGTCAGACAGGTTGGGGAGCCTGGGGTTGGGGTGGCATGAACCATCTGGGGGAAACCTCAGCCCCAGGAAACCCAGCAGGCTTGAGCAGCCAAGGCACTGAGTGCTGCTGAGGCCTTGGTGGCTCTGGGAGGCCTTGGTGGGTTGGGCCAGCCTCATGGGATGGAGAGAGTTGAAGAGAAAAAAACCTGAAGGTCCTCGGCAGTGGGTGGGTCTGAGTGTGGGCAGAGGAGAACGGCTGAACTCCCAGGCCTTGGGGGACGCTGTGATGCTGGACATCCAGAGTTCTGTGGAAAGAGAAGGGAGTCACTGTCCCTTGGGGTTGTGATCCCCAGCTCTTGCTCCTCCTCCTCCTTGCTAACTGCCTGATCAGGGGGCTGGGCCCAGGGGAGTTGGTGGGGAGACACGCCATGGAGGAGATGCCTAGAAGCTGTCAGCTTTCAGCTGGTCATCCTGGAAGGAATAGGCCCTAGGTTGGGTGCCCAGGGCAGAAGGACTCTGGTAAGGACAAATGCTTTACTAGAGAGTGGCCTCAGCACTGGGCATGGAGAGAGCCAGGCAAGGATGTGCCCAGGACAGATGTGTTAGCGGGCAGGTTACTTGCGAGCACCAGGGTTCTCATGGTCCCCTGGGAGGGTGTGTAGAACATGCGTGGGAGACATTACACCTCGGAGCAAGAGAAGCCAGGGGTCTTTTCTGTCTCATTCTGGGTGAGGCCTCTCTGGACTTGTTCCCTGTCCCAGTGGCCTGCCTTACCACCACCACTGAGATGCTCCTGTGGCCAGAGACAGCATTGGGCTGTCACAGGCACCTGCAGGGAGAAGCCAGGGCTGTGTGGGACCCGAGGGGACAAACCCAACCCTCCTCTACTTCTAGAGCACATGGAAGGGTGAGTGATTATCTAGAAAGGACTGGGGGAGCATAGGCCAGGTGTACATCCTCCTGGAGCAGCAGAAACTGTGAAGGTGACCTGGTCCCTTGGTCAGGGTCAGCACAAGGAGGCTGGACTCACCTGAGTTGGAGACAGGTCACTCCAGGCAGAACTGTGGAGGCTGAGCAGATGCATAGCCCAGGAAGGAACAGGGATTCCCTGGGTCAGTTGGCAGGGGACTGGAGTGAGGACTAGTGACCCCATGTGGGGCTGACGTCTCACATATCTTGAGTGCAGGCTGTGCAGTAAGCCATGCCTCCACCTGAAAAACCCATAGGGCAAGATTCCTGCATGTGCATGTGCACACACACACACACACACATGAGCACATGTATGCATGAGTACACACACCTTATAAGTACCTATATGCATGCACATACATACATACAAAGACATGCATGTATGTGGACATACAGACAGGCACACATGCACAGGTGTACATGTATACTTGTATGCACGTGTACACACATCTCACGCATATATGCTTGCACACATACAGAGACATAGGCATACACACGTTCACATTCATACATGCACAAGTGCACACATCCATGAATACACACACACATACACAAGTGCACACACTCATACACACACACAGAGCCTTGACAACCTTGTTTGTCCTTTGGCCCTGCATACTGTCTGGAATACCCGAAGGCACCTGGGGGCTGCAGGAGGCTGTGTCTTGGACTAGCATGTGTGTGAGAGCTTGGAGTCATGTGTGTAGGACTGTCACCCAGTGACTGGACAACTCTCTCTGAGCTCCTACCTCCTCTTCTGCAAAGTGGTCTCCACCATCTGCCTTGTAGGGCTGCTTGGAGCTCCGGATGAGAAGGCAGTGGGACTTGGCTTTGGAAATGGTCACCTGCTGAGCAGGTGAGGGCCAGGAGATCAGTGTCCTTGTCTTACAGGGAAATCACAGGTGTGCATGAGACACCATGCAGAACATAAGATGTGTATGGCTCCTCTGTAAGCAGGCAGGGTCCCCAGAAGCCCACAACCAGGGCTGAGAGACACCCACTACCCTCCTTGGGGTCATTCACTCTGGGGATTCCTGGTGGAGCCTCCAGGGTGCCAGGCAGGGCCAACTAAGTCCCAGAAAGGGAGGGAGGGGGACTGGAGAGATGCCAGGGTGAACTTCTGGCACCCGAGGTTTTAGAACACTTGGGGCTGGCTCAACAGGCATTTTCTAAACACCCAGTCTCAGTAAGGGTCTGGCACAGAGGAGCCCCTTACAGCTTGGCCTGGCCCTGGCCCAGTGGTCCAGGTGTTAAAAATCTCAGCTTTTGGAGAGCTGGCACAGTGCCATCTGTCCTCCCTCACCCTTGCCTTCCTGCCAGGAGCAATTCCTCCCTGGCCCTTCCAGTCCTGAACCCTCACCCTGAGCCCAGCAGCATGGGCAGCAGTAGATGGGGATGACTCTGAGACCTCTCTCCAGACCCCAGCCTTCACCTCCCTCACCCTCCCCGCACAGTGGGAGGGGCCTCGGAAGTGCTGGAGGAGACAAGTTCAGGGCAGGAGTTCAGGTGGTTTTCTTGAGTCTGGGGACTGTGGAGGTGGCCAAGGGAGCAGAGCACGGCTCAGCAGTCCACCTTTCCTTTTGACACTCACCTGGACTCAGGTAAGGGCAGGGGACTCTTGTCTCACTGTTGTCTCATCCAGGTCACTTTCTAGTTCCCCAGTGGCCTATTCTGTGCCCACATATCTTCTGGAGAAACAGGGCCACTGGGAACTGTGTGGGCCAGGTCAGAGGGCCTTGAGAGGCAGCAGCCTGGAGGGGAGAGGGGGGACACAGGCAGGTGGGTGACTAGGACAACCCAGTAGTCTCAGGGGCTGTGCCCAGGCCCGGTGAGCCTGTAGGAGTCAGAGGATGGCTGGAGCTGAGCAGGGCTGGTGGCAGAAAGTCAGCTCAGATAAGAGGCCAGGGTCACTGTGGGGGATGGCAGAATCAGAGCCATAGTAGGCAGGCAGACCTCAGGCAGGAAGTCAGAAATGAGGCAGTTGGCCTAAGAGACCCCTGTTTGGATGTGTCAGGAAGGACACAAGTGACAGAAACTCAGCTTATTCCATGAGGATATTTGTTAGTTCACCAAGAAGTCCAGGAGAAGGTGGTCTCCAGATTGGTTCAGTGACTCAATATCCAGGATCTCCGCACCCTTTCCCTCTACCCTCTTGGTGAATTGACTTTTTCTCCTCATGGTTGGTGTCTCATGTCTTAAAATGACAGCTCAAGCATCACATCCTTCGACAAAGGCAGCAAGTAGAGGGTGAGCCAAGCACCCAACAGACTCATGTCTCATGGGCCAGCACTGGTTACATGACCACCTTCATAGTTACAAAGGAGCTGGGAAATTGAGTGCCTAGCCAAGCAGAAGGGGGCTACTATGATCGGCTTAGTCCAGTCTTGATTCCTCCTCTGGGCCCCACACAGATACACAACCGGGGCTTCTGGGACATGGGCAGCGGAGGGCAGGGGGTGGGGGGAGGGGTACCCATGACCATCAGGATCTGTTTCCTCTTCATTGCCAGTGGGGACTCCAGATATGAGAGCTGACCCAGGACTTCTGCTGTTCTCTTGTCCTGCCTTCCTTCCTCTCCTCTTCTGTCTGCACTCTGGCAGTCATGGACCACAGGCAGTGGGAGGAGGCCCTCTGTGAAGGTCACAGAGGTCTTAGACTCCACAGGTGTCTGGTGCAGAGGGAGGGGTCTGGTGCAGTGACATTGTCAGTGTCCCTGGCCTCCAAGGCTGCACTGCTCTGCTTTTCTTGGGCTGCATCCCATGCCCACTGCTGTCACCCTGCCCTGGTGAGCTCAGAACTGGGCACAGATGGAATTTTTTCCCTTGAGAGGTCAGTCATGGCCAGACCAGGAGGGTTGGAACTCGGACCTGGGTGATTCTAACTTGGCCTTTGCCAACACTCCTCTGCCCAGCGACATGTGCTGTGTGGATGATGGTGGCCATGTGGAGGTGGCCTAGGAAAGAGCAAACTTAGCCTTTCTTGCTGGGCCAAGGTTGTTGGTGGCAGGTTCCCTCAGGAAGCTCAAGACCCCTGTAAGAAAGGACAGGGAGCCCAGGGTGAACCCACAGGGATCTTCAACCTGGATCCATGCAGGCTGTTGTCCTCCCTCCCTGCTGCTGCCCTTTCCCTGTGTGCCTACACGCAAACACCATCTTCCCCCATATGTCCTTGCACCCTGCACCGCCCTACCTCAGTGCTGTACCCCTGGGACTATCCCTGTTAGGTTATTGGGAGGCCCCAGGGATGCCACAACTCAGCCCATCTCAAATCTGGACTTCTCCTATGCCTCCATTTGATAGGTGGCAATCCCACTGTCCCCCGTAGCCAGGCAGAAAAAAGGAACATACTTCACCCCCCAGGGGGCTTTAGGTCCTGATGTTGCCCTCACCCCATCAGTGCCCCACTACCTTGGGTCCCCCATCACACGCCACCCACTGCCATGGCTGCCTCCTGTTGCCTCCCTAGCTCCTCCACTTCCTCAGAGCCCAACCTTGGATGTGGTCAGTCAGCTTCCCAGTGGACACTTAGCATCAGGGGCAGAAGTCAGAACTCTGTCTTCCTGATGGGATCCTGCGGGGGATTGAGAGTCCAGGGACCCCTGGGCCACTGTGTGAGCTGAGCAAGTCGCTCCTCTTCTCAGTGACTCTGTGAAACTCCGTCAAGGCCATAGCTAAGCTGTAGGTGGACAATAGCAGGTCTGGTGGAGGAGGCACTGCCTGGAGCCTATCCCTATCACCTACTTGCTCACTGGATGACATTGGACAGTTACAGTCTCTGAACCTCTGCTTTCAGTTTCTGAGTGATGTGACCACAGTGGCCTTTCCTATCTCAGGGGCCCTTACAAGGATGGGAAAAGGGAGGAGCTCAGAGAAGCTGGGGTGGGGAGTGGGAACTTGGGTTGCTGAGCTAGTGAGAAGTCTGCTTGGAGGGACCCTCTGTTGCACGCTTAGGAAACCTCAGGTGGGCTTAGGCCTGCACACCAAGGCAGCTGTTTATCCCTTTTTTTTTTTTTTGTTTCATTTCAAAAAAATTTTTAAAAATTTTATTCATATGTTCATACAATGTTTGGGTCATTTCTCCCCCCTTTTCCCTTCCCCCTCCCTTACCCCCCACCCCCTTCCTTACCTTCCCGAGCCCCTCGCTACCAGGCAGAAACTATTTTGCCCTTATCTCTAGTTTTGTTGAAGAGAGAGTATAAGCAATAATAGGATGGACCAAGGGTTTTTGCCAGTTGAGATAAGGACAGCTATACAGGGAGTTGACTCACATTGATTTCCTGTGTGTGTGTGTTACCTTCTAGGTAATTCTTCTTGATCTAACCTTTTCTCTAGCTCCTGGTCCCTTCTTCTGTCGGCCTCAGTCACTTTAAATTATCTGCATGAGTTTCTCTGCGTTGAGGTTTATCCCTTTAATGTCCATAACAGCGAGAGAAACCAGTCCCAAGCTCCCTCTGCCTAGAACGCACCCAAAGTGCTTGCAGGGCCTTCAGGGAGCCCCAGCCCTGCGCCCAGCCAGGGATGTAGCGCCATCTTCTGGCTTACTTCAGAATAGGAGACTCAACTGCAGCCTCAAGGCCAGTCTCCCAGGGAGTCTCCAGGGCCCAGGCTCTGTCTTTGTCATCTTTGACCCCTGCTGCCTTCAACGGGAGAGGGAAGGTCTGTGCTCCAGGCAGGTCCTGAAGAGTCAGGGCCACTTTTTGTTTTGCTGGACAGCGTCCTAAAGACCCTACCCTGAGACAGGTCATCTATATCAACCCTCCTTCCTGCCACCCATCTGTCTTCCCATCCCTCCACCCATAATTATTCCCTGACCAAGGAGTTTATGTTCTGAGCCAGACAGTGATGAGGACAGGTCGTACACGCCATCATCCCTCCCAGTGATGTGCAAGCTGGGTGTCACTTGGTCACAGTGACAGGCTGCAGAAGAAAGCACTGGACCTGCTTGCGCCTGAGGGTCCAGAAGCTCCTGGTGGGGAAGGAGAGGACAAAGAGGGAGTGTGTTCCACAAAGGGGGCCCAGTGAGAGGTGACCTGCCACTGTGCAGGGGACAGCTGCAGGTCTCATGGGGCATGAGTCCTATGCACACGTCCCTGGTTTGCTTATCCAGGGCCTGACCCACTGCCCTTCTTGACCAGGTCCTCCTGTTGGAAGCTGCTGAGCAAGCCTCAGGCCCAGACAACGACCTGCCAGCCCTCCAGAGCACCCCACCGCCCTGGAATGAAGACTTTCTCCCTGATGCCATCCCCCTTGCCCACCCGGGGCCCCGGAAGAGAAGGCCTGCAGGTCCAGCTGGTGAGTGGTGATGCAGGGCAGGGCTAGAACTGCCCAAAGAGGCCAGGTGTGGCCTCCAGAGCCACCATACATAGGCCACGGACTGACGAGGAAGGCAGGCCCCTGGCAGAGTGGGAGGTGATCAGTTGGGGCCAGGGAAAGAGAAGCAGGTGTCCTGAAGGCTTTGAGGGGAGAGGTGGGCTCAGGCTTGCTGTGGGGAGGGTGAGAGCATCTTACTCTAGCCACCTGGCCCGCTGTTCCAGCCACTGTCCTCAAGATCTCACCACAGAGGGTGACAGAGGGAGGCTATGTGTGGGACTGAGTGGAAGGGGATTCCTATCCTTTCAAGGACTCAGCTCCCAAACCCCAAACTCCCTAGGTGAGAGGCTGGGGGCTGGGTGTGGGAGTGGTGGTGGGAAAACGGGGGCCCCTGGCCAGACCTTTCTTTACCAGGAAAGCGTAGCTCCAGAAATGGCCACCAGGTGGTGCTCGTACTCCACAAGTGGTGAGGCCTGAGTGCCTTCCCTCAGGCCCTGGAATTCAGAGGTGGCTCTTGCTGGCAGCACCACCCCCCACCCCTGCCAAGTCCTTGCTCCTTGATCAGAGTCACCTGAAGCATGGGCAGGAAGGGTCTTAAGAGCCAGCTCAAGTTCTTCCTCTCAATCAGCAAACCCAGAGGGAATAGGGCATTCACAGGTCAGACAGCAGACCCACACCTCCTCTGTTCTTGTCCTCCATTCAGGCCTGGAGACCTGAGCTGGACAGATGCACTTCATAGGGGTTCCTGGGATTGCTGAGAGGCAATACTGGGGAACACTTGCCACAAGCCCAGAGCTTGAGCAGGGAGACCCTAGGACATGAGGGAGGGACTGGGGTGAAGAAACACGAGCTATCGGCTGGCTCTGCGACCTTAACCAAGGGACCAAGCATTTCTGAGCCTCAGTTTCCACACATGCAAAATGGGAGCAAAAGCAGTTCTTGGGATCACAGACGTGAACAAGTGTGAAGATGGCTTGTCAAACTAATGACCAACAAACCTGGGTGAGGGTGGAGCCCTTGTCCCTTTGAGGAGGCCCTGGTGACCAGGGTGTATGGGGGATGGTCTGACCAGACGGCCCAGGTGGTACAGTCTGGAGCCACAGCGGCAGCTCAGTCCACAGTGTTCTCAGGCCTCACCTCATCTCTCTCCAGGACCTCCAGGGCCTGCAGGTCCTCCAGGCTCCAAAGGTGACCCGGGCCAGACAGGAGAGAAGGGCCCAGTGGGGCCTCCTGGTAAGGACTCTGTCATCCTGATGTGTTCTGGAGGAGAGGGCTGGGTTTTGTCTCTGCTTGACCAGTTTCGGTGTCCCCTTCCCCTGATCTTGCTGGGGAGCCGTGTTCATTCCCTTTCATGTTCACCACTCTCTTCCTCTGTCCCAAGAGACTGTCGGACAATTGTCAGAAGGGACCTATTGGTGAGGTTTTGGGACTGCTGGGGACAGGGACTTGTTCTCATCCGTAGAAACAACCCATGGGGACCCCCAGCTCTGCCTGAGTCCTAGGGGACTGACCCCTAGTCAGTGCTGGCTCATCCTAGGTGAACCTGCACCGGAGCTGATCTCCTTGAGGCCCGTGGGCATCTGGTCAGAGCCTCTGCTGATTGCTTTGTCCCTGCTTCCATCACCTTTGTCCCCATTGCCCTCTGCACTGAGACACCCTCTTTACACTCCAGGACCCCTTCCAGGTCCAGAGGCCATCACTGACTGGCCATGTGACCCTGGCTAACCCTCTCCACTTCAGGGCCTCAGTTTCCCATCATAATAGTTAAGCCACCTGCCTCACAGTGACTCTTCTTCTCTTCATTGCAGGGCTCTTGGGGCCACCAGGGCCCCGTGGGCTTCCTGGAGAAATGGGGCGTCCTGGTCCCCCAGGACCCCCCGGTCCAGCAGGAAGCCCAGGCCTCTTGTCTAACAGCCCCCAAGGCGTCCTCTATTCCCTACAGCCACCTACGGACAAAGACAGTGAGTGCCACATGGAGGGGTGCCAGGTTGGTGGGCAGTGGGGACCTGCTGCCTGTTGGGGATTGGACTTCCTGGAAGGAAACTTGGGAAGGGGAGATCCTGTCAATGTGGAATTGCCAGCTTGGGAGCAAGGCTCAGCCCTGGCGGGGCCTCGACACACCCTTCCCTCACTCTGCTTGCTGGCCTGACCTTGGCTTCCTACCTGGCAAGCCACCCCTGTCACATTACTCCTACAAGTCCCTCTCTGTAGGTCACTCAGTAAGCATGGACCAAGGACCTACAGCAGTAAGCAATATGGACCAAGTTGGACTCTCAGACTCTCAGTATCACAGGATGGTCCAAGGGTGGCTTAGAGCAAACAAAACACATGGGGGGCCCAGAGGGCAGGGGACTAGGAGAGTCTGAGGGACAGGGAGGCAGTGACTGGCCAGGTAGAGGGAGTTCTCAGGCCCTGAGAGCTGCATCAGTGCTGGTCCTGAGCAGGGCTGTTGTAAAGTCCAGGAGTTGAGGATGGGTCTGTGGCCTCCTGGGCACTGGGACACCATAGGGAGTGGGGGCTTGTTGCCAGCAATCAGAGAAACCTTGGCTCCCCTCCTGCTCAGTCTTCTGTCCCCTTCTCTCTCCCCACTCCACGGCACAGCACTTATCTGAGTACTAGGACCTGTGTTTCTCCAAGCCTCAGTTTCCCCATTTGTAAAGTATGGTGGTCATACATCCTAATGGAGATTGAAGCACAAAGCCCCTGGCTGGTGCTGGCAGCAGGAGGGTGGCTTGTTTCTGGGTGGATGGGGTCTGGCTGCCCTTAGTGGGAGCAGGGGCTAGGCCTGGGAGGTAGCAGGACTGGGAAGGGGCAAGTGCCAGCTCTCTGCCTGCAGACTGGGCTTTCTTGCTGGGGCCTCCCAGCATGGCTGGCTCTGCCCTGCCTGACAGGACCCGTTCTGCTGTCCACAGGTGTGGACTCCCAACTCACACCTGCCGTTGTGGACACGGTGTTGGCCGGCATCCCAGGGCCCCGGGGTCCCCCTGGTCCCCCAGGTAAGTGGAATGCGGACTCTCCCAGGGGCCTCAAGGGACTGCATGCCAGATGGGAGTCCGTGGCTTTGGGAGGGGCTGGGTTTGGGTCTGCTCCAACCTTGCTGTGTTCCCTGGCTTCCTGGGGGGTAGTGCCCCTGTGAGACTGGCCAATATACCCCTAGGGAAGTTGCACCTGGTTGCCCTTGTGTGGGCCACAGTGGGAGACACCCCAGGGTCCATGGGCACCCAGATGGAGGGAACAGTGTGGGTCTTGGGGAGTTGGCAGGACAGATATATGGTGGGAAACAGAAACAAGAGCCCTAGGGGAGGGAAGAGCACCTTCTAGCAGTTGTGAGGCCCTGAGTTCAAACCCCAGTACCACAAAAGAAAAAAAAAAACCAGAAAACTCCCCAAACAACCCCTAACCCTTCCCACTACCCCCCAAAGACCCCCAAACAACCCCAAAACCAAAACTAGTGAGGTGTGGGTGGATGGTGAGGAGGCTGCGTGGTAACCCGGGCGACATGAAGAGTCCTGGGTTCCCATATGGGCCCATGTGAGGGAGACTCATTACGGGCTGATTAGCTGGGGGAGGGCATGTGGACTGGCACCCTGCCCCGTCTCTGGGTCTTGGGATTGGGACTGCTCTGTGGATGATCCTGGGAGGAGCAGCAGAAGGAGATGGATGGATATGGGGCTCTGGGCTATGAGGATGGAGAGGCCTAGGTGTGTGCACCTTCTGCCTTACCTACTGTTCATTCAACAAAACTTCATGGAGACAGAACCAGGGCTGTGTGGAAGTGGGAGCTGGGAATGTCCCTCTCCAGAGCGGGTGGGTGGCAGTGGGCTTTGCTGGTCCCAGGTGACCACTGATGACTCTATCCATAGGTCCCCCAGGACCCCCGGGAGTGCCTGGATCCCAGGTAAGGACCTGATTATTTTTGGCATGGTACGGGCTGTGCTGGCGGATGTTGTCTCCCAGGAGGGAAGAGCCAGGCCTCTGACCAGCATGAGTCACTCAGGGAGGGACTAACCCATTGGCCTCCAGGACAAGGAGGCTGCACTCCCTTTGTGCCCCTTACTTCTGGGGTGGGGACAGAGGAGAGTAGAGCTTTGCTGAACACCTACTGTATGCTGGCACAGTGCACGTGGCCTTCATCCATCATGCATTTAAGCTTCACAGCCTCTCCTGCCACTGTCTAGTAATTAATAACAATAGGAATCATTTCCACAGCACGTCTGGGATCCAGGATCTAGTCTAAACTCATGATAGGATTGATCTACTTAACCCTCCCAGTAATGATGAGATAGATACCAGTATCACTCACATGTTACAGATGAGGAAACAGAGGCACAGAGAGGTAGAGCAACTTTCTCAAGATGACATAGGAGCTTGTGAGACTGAATGACTGGCCCCATTATAGAGATAGGCAAACAGAGTCCAGGGAGGCAGGTGGGCTCAGTGATTCCCCAGAAGAGCCAACAGAAGAGCTCACTGAGTTCCCAGCCTGAGTCTCCCTATCCCAGAATCAGAATTAAATGCCTAAAACCCTGGACCCCTCTGAAGGCCTCACCTGCTCTTCTTACCCATAGCAAAAGTCATTCAGACATGGCACCTGTCCCCAGGCATTGCCTGCTCCTGAAGGATCCTGAGGTCTGCCTCAGAGCAGAGAGAGGTGCCCTGTGTCCACCCAGGGTGTTGACCATGTGGCTTGCTTTGTAGGGTGAGCCCAGTGTAAAGGTGGATGAAGGGGACAAAGCCACCACTGCAGAGGTAACTATGCCTTTGGCCATGCATTCACACCTCCCATGCATGAGGCCCATGTATGCCACCTCCTGCCAGCAGTCTGGGGAGGCACAGCTGTCCCTTGTCTTTCTCTGGCTTGCCCCAGGCCTTCTCTGCAGTGTTAGCTTGGCTGATTCACCTGGGTGTGCATCCAGGAGAAGTCCAGCAAAGCTTCTCCCACCTACAGGGCCCTGTGCCAGGTGCTCTGTCCTCTTTATGGTATTTTCTGGAAGTAGGGTAGGCAGGGGGTGCAGTCAGGAAGGAGTGGTAGGAGGAAAAGTCAGTCATGTCCAGGCTGTGTGACCATGGGGATGTTAAGTGCTATCTCTGTGTGTTTGGGTTTCTTATCTGTGAACCAGGGTTGAGACCCCAGCCTGGCACACAGAAGATGTTCAGCTATGGTGGCCCTTTGTAGTGATGATGATGATGGGGGGAAGAGGCGGGAGGGCTGTGAGGTATGTCTATAATATCTGGATGGCCTGGACTCCTGCATTGCACTGACCCTGACCCTGACCCTGGCCTTTCCTCCCCACCAGGGTGAGGGTGTGCAGCAGCTGCGAGAGGCACTAAAGATCCTGGCAGAAAGAGTCCTTATCCTTGAGCACATGATTGGAATTCATGGTGAGCAGTGACCACACTTCTGAACCAGAATCCCCTTCCTTCCTATCTCCCCATACTCCACTGTCCTCAGTGGCTGCTGGGAACCTATGGTCCCTCTGCCTCAGTGATGCCAACACATGGCTATCAAATGGTCTTTGTCAGACCCATCTGACCATGTCCCTCTTCTGCTCAAGAACCCCCGCCCCCTGCTGTGAGGGGGACATCAGCCCCGTTTCCCAAGCCCCTCCCCAGCATTGCAGGGCCCAAGACAGGCCATAGCAAGTCATACCAGGCTGCCTCCCACCTCCACGCCTTTGCTCAGCCTGGTACACTTGCCTGCTGAACATGACTCCCACGTCAGGACCTGCTCTGAAGATCTCTTCCTCCAAGAAGCTATCCCTGGGCCCTTCCTTCTGTCCCCGCTTTCTCTTCAGTCATGGGCAGTGCTGTCTGTATCTCTTCCTAGGACACCGAGAGCCACTTGTGCAAGTGGGAGTTGGCATCTCTGTAGGCCTGGAGCCCCGGCTTCCTAAAATTAGAAAATGAATGGGAGAATGGATGGCTACATGAATGAATGATGGGTGAATGATTGGGTGCATGAATGAATGGGAAATGAATAGGTGCATGAATGAATGGATGAGTGGATGAATGAATGGGTGAGGAGGCTATTTTGTCTCCTTCATGTTGGACAATGGCTTCTCCCCATGACCAGGTACTGGTAGCAAAGATACCTCCGAGAGCTCCAAGACTCCCTCAAGCCTGCCCTCTTGCTCTCCTTCCAGATCCCCTAGCCACCCCTGAGGGGGGTTCTGGTCAGGATGCTGCCCTGAGAGCCAACCTCAAGATGAAGCGAGGTGGCACCCAACCTGATGGTGCCCTGGCTGCCCTGCTGGGTTCCGACCCTACGAAGAAGAGTGCTGACCAAGCCAGCGGCAGGAAGTAAGAGTCCAGCCCTCCAGGACAAGCCCCAGCCCTGGCTAGAGACACAGCCCTGCGGCCAGTGCTGCTGCTGGTTCCTGAAGGTGCCCACCTGGGACTGGGCTTCTGGCTTGGACCATTGTGATGGACACTGAGAATCAGAGGGCCTTGGGAATGGAAGGTGCCTCCAGAGGCAGGGTCTGGAGGGAACCTGCAACCTTAGCAGAGCCCATGCCTTGGCCCTGTTCTCCCCCACCCCTCACTCCCTGCTGGAAACAGAGGATGGGTGGTGCGTGTGGAAATAACCCTAGTACTCATCAGTTACAGAGTCCCTGAGGAGTCTGGGCCTATGAAAGGAGCCTTCCTCATATTGTCGCATTTAACCCTTAGCAGGTAGGCTTATTATCCCCTCTTGATGCAGGGATGGAGGCTCAGAGGGTATAAATAACCCGCTGAAGTTCCTGGATCATGGAGGCCAGAACAGGATTTGAATCCCAGCCTCTTAGTTGCTGAGGCTGTGACTTCTGGGCCCTGCCAGTTTCTTCCCCTCTAAATGAGCAATCAGGAAGGACAGCTCCTGAGGCAGCAGGGCTGCAGGGAGGCTGGGCCATGGGGAAGAACGGGCTGTCCCTGCACAAAGGACACACGGGGAACATGGGGCTCTGGCCCACTTCCTGGGGCTGGGTGGTCAGGTCTTGCAGGCCAGGGAGACCCTGAATAAACCACTGACTTCCATGGACTTGGGGACCATGAGAGAGGGTCTTTGGGATGGTGTGCAAGTGCTCCTGAATTTAATTGGCATCATTCACTTCTGCCACCCAGTCTTACTGAGTGTCCGCTAGCCCAGCCATCTGGCCCTCCTATCCCTGAGCCAGAAGGAGGGAACATTTAATATTTTATGGAATGTCTGTCCATGGAGAGTGGGACCTGCACCTCCCTCCCAGTCTCTCTGGGAGATCTCTAGGTTCTGTAGTTTCTGCAGGACACAGTGAACCCATTCCCCTTCACAGAATAGAGAAAGGAAAGTTGCCCATATCCAAGGCCTGCTCCCACTCATCAGGTCAGGAGTCCTGGCAGGCTCCACCACAGAAGCTAGGTCCTAGTAGTTCAGAGGAGTTCAGACCAACCAGTGAGGCCTCTTGGGCCCTGAGTCTCTTGTGACTCTCCTGGCCCTGGTGCTCCTCTTGTTGGGCCAGGCTTCAGATCCCAGAGACAGCAGGAACTCAAGAATAGAAGGTGCTGGTGCCACCCTGGGGCACATCTCCCCGCATGGCAGGAGTGGCTATCCCCAGTGATTTTGGTGCTCATGTGATGCTGTGACTCGGTTCCTGCTGGGCCCCTGAAGTGGATCTGGCCTCCTGCTGGCCTGTCCTGGATCACTCTGTGGAGGGGCATTCAGAAGCCCATGATGTCACTGTATTTGATAATAAAGGTGCTGTCCCCACTGGGGTCTGTTTGTGGGGTGGCAGGTGTGTTGTGGAGGTTGGGGAATGGACAGACCATGTACAGCTGATCAGCTGCCAAGGAACCTGTGAACGATTTTGGACATCCTGTGGCTAGCACAGGCCTCTGAGGCATGGGCCCCAGCTCTGCCCCCAGGGTCTCCTAATCACAAGTCCATGTTGGTGTCTCTTGACTAGCAGGAACTGGGATACCATTCAGCTTCTCAAAGGCCAGAAGCCTGCCTGCTTCAGGCAGGACTCACCCTTTACCTCACATGAAGGGATCTGCCCTTATCTTTAGCTCCTGGCTGCAGTCTGGATCCTGCTTCCAGGCCCATGGTGGAGGCAGCCCCTTTCCATGTGGGACCTGAGTTCCCAGCAGGAATCTTTGGGCTGGGCCCCGTCTTGTACCCATTGCCTTTCTAGAATATCCTGATCACTCATTGATACTCCCAGGGTCCCTTGAGATCAGGGTTGGGGTCTAGTTCACTTCTGTCTTCCCAACCCAGGTCCTGGCTTGAGACAAGTTGTCAGGTTTGATAAAGGAATGCAGTCCTTGCTACAGGGACACTGACCCAATTACACAAGAGCACTTAGTGATGGCCACTAAGAGCCAACTTTGCTCTGAGCACATCACCACCAGGTGGTGAGGAAGGCCATTCCCAAGGCCCAGTTGCAGTACAGTGTGGGTCAAGGCCAGAATGGGCAGTGACACAACTGTGGGAGATGGCTATGTGGTCACCTCAGCACAGAGAGAGGACAGCAAATCTGTGGGGGCTGAGGAGAGGGCACAGAGGATTCAAGTGCCTCCATGAATCAGCTGGTGTCCTCTAATCAGGAAAGGGCCTAAGAGATGGGGAACATCGGGGGGAAGCCTGGCAGATGAAGAGGGAAGCTCCTTGGTTACTGCCAGGGGTGCAGAGTGAGAGATTGGATGGCAGGATGGGCAGAGGTGGGTGCTTCCCCTGGAAGGCTGGGCCCACTCTCAGCTCACCCTGCCCTGCCTTGAGCATGCACTTTTGGGTAATAGTCATCCAGGTAGAAATGTTCCACAGGACCCATATGCATCCTTTCCCACTTAGTGAAGCAGACTAGTAGGTGTTCATCCTCCCAGACCCTGTGGCAGTGATGGGACACTGAGAGAGACACTGCACTGCCCACGACACAAAGATGTCCTGCCCTGGGTCTGTGTGGCCTCTCTGGTCTGTCTAGGAGCTGACCAAGTCTGTCTTCTCTGACACGGGCTGCTGGCTTTGGAGGGTGCAGATAGGACACGGAGGACCAGGTGGGCATCCACCCCTGTGCACATGAACCCCTCAGGGTGCAGGGCAGAAGTAGGATGGGAAGGGGTTGTGGTTTGAGGGGGTGGGGACTCCAGCTGTCACCTTCTGGCTCAAACCTAGCCTTCCATGTCCTTATAAAGGGCATTTGTCAAAACGGGAGTCTACAACCTACTTTACATAACTGGTCAGGTCAATGTCTAAATTTTAAGTATTTAGATATGTGGAGTGGAGGCCTGGATCCTGCAGTGATCCAGGACAGGTCTGGGTGGGAACAGCAGAGTCCAGAGGAAGCAGAACAATTTTCAGAGCTATGGGGCAAGGATGGGGTGCAGGAGGCAAGTGGTTTCTGATGGGAGCTCCCCAATAGCAGGGTGGGTAGGCCAAATCTGAATTGTGTGGATGGGCCAGTGTGGCAGGACATGTAGGATGCAAAGGAGGTCGTTGCACCCAAGGGTCAGGGCTGAGGAAGAGTGTCCCCAGGGGAGTGGAGATTGGCTGGTCTTAATAAACATGACATCAGGCACTGTGTAAACACATGATAAGTGTCACAGCCACCTCCTCCATTTGGGATGAGTCAACAGAGCCCCAGGGAGGTTAAGTGGCTCACCCAAAGTCACATAGATGGCCAGAGCTGAAGCTGGGTTCTAGACTAAGTCTGTGGGACTCAGGCAGTCCATGCCTTGAGATATGGCCCTGGTCTGCCTGCTGTGAATTGTTCTGGAAGGAAGAATGGAGTTTTCATAGACTAGGAGTCCCAGGGCTGGCACTGCAGGGCAGGCTGAATGTGAGCAAAAGCCTGAGGTGTTAGAAGCACAGTGAACTGGGCAGGGGCAGAAAGGATTCTCACAGGACATCGAAGCTGCTGCCAGCTGTGGAATCATGGAGATCCGAGTGTTGGAGGGGAGGGAACTAATGCCCAAGGGACAGTGGAGTCTTGCCGCTCCCTTCCATCTGGCCTGCAGAGGCTATTTGTAAAATGCAAGCCTGACGTCACTCTTCCCTTGCTCATGAATCTGCTGTGACTCCTCTGTTCCTGGCCCCTTGCCTGGACTCCCACAGATTGTGTCTGTTGCTGTCCTGGTGGCCATAGGAGTTGGCCAGAAGCCTCTTCCTTGCCATACCTTGTCTTGGTGCAGCCCATGGGTGCCAATTTCTGTGGCATGAAGGTGTCAGCTCTTGGCAGCAGCAGGGAAAAGCAAGCAGGAGGTCGCATCCCAGTATGCACATCTCAGTGTATCACCTCCTCTGAGCCTTGAAGCTAAGGAGACAGTGTGGACACCTGACCCTTCTAAGCTCCTTCTGCAGGGTGAGACTCTGGACATGACAATTGCCCAGAGCCTGACTGGGATGCCACAGAGCTGGACTCTGGTGCCCTCCTAGTGCCTGTGTCCCCAAAAAAACACTTGGGAAAGAGGTCCTGAGGGAAAGCCCAGTCCATAGGGAGCTCCAGGGTCTTTGCAGAGCTTCTGGCTGGGCAGGTGGGAACTCTCACTGCCTCAACCATTCTGAGCTCCCACTCTGAGGCCTGCAGGAGCCACCCAGGTGGTTAATGTGGGAAAATTAGCCTGGCCCATCCCTGCTCCTCATCTTCACCCTATCTCGACCTTCCCATTGTGCCCTGCCCAGACACATTTTCACTTCGTCCCTGTCATCTCTGCCCTGCATCCTCCAGCCCCCCTCAGCATACCTCCACCTCTCTGTCCAGTGGTGGCTTCTTGTGTACACTTCTCTCCTGTGCCCCACACGTGCATCACACCCGACCTTCCTTCTCAGATGCTGTGGAGAGCAGATTATGGGATGCCTATGAGAACTGGACATAAGCAAGATGAGATGCAGCTCAACTGTTTTTCCTAAAGTTTACTTTTTTTTTTTTTGGTGTAATGGAGTTTGAACTCAGGGCCTCACACTAGCTAGGCAGGCTGTTTTTCCTAAGATATGTCACAGCTGAAACTAGCAAAAATTACCTGTTGCTTAGCCCTTTTGTTCTTTTCAAGCTTTGAACTGATTATATGAGGCTCATCCACACTAAAAAGCCCACTTACTTTACTTACTAATAAAGTAAATAACTTTACTTTATTACATTCAGATATTTATATCACTCAGAAACACCCTCACATCCACATCTAGAATAGTGTTTGATGAAATATCTGCATACTTGGTGGCCACACAGATGTCACATAAAATTAACAAGGTCCTTCATTGTATTTGTTTATGAATAAAAACTACTGTCAACTCCAGGTAGCAGAAGATCTGGAGGCAGGCTCTATGATCATCTTTTACTAATTTGGATGCCAAAGTGC